CCCCCCAGGGAAAAGGGCGGCATACAAATAAACTTCTGAATCTGAATCTGAATCTGAACAAATTCAGGAGGTTTACAATTACATTTGTAATTGAAACACATGCATATTATTTCTTGCATATTAATAAAGAACACATTCCCTTCTCCCGTTAGCTAATGGCCAAATGTTTCTCTCTATTTGGGTTTTTATAGACAACGTCAGGTATCTTGATGAGCTTCCACCCTATTAAGAAATGACGAAGTTCATTCTCATGAGCCTTTTTCTTTTCATTAAAAATTTTCCTAAATGAAAAATAACTCATGGGATACTGCTATGTAATAGTTATTTATATTGGCTTATAATCCATATTACACAAAGAAAACTGGAATGGAGATGCATCTAATGGGAACAACTGAGTACTGGTTCTGATGCCCAAATGATTCAGAATGACAGCGTATTGAACATGCAGTGTGAGAAGTGAACAATACAGTACACAACTTTTGGGAGGCCTGCTGTAAGATCCCAGGAGAAAAGCAGGTAACTTTTATAGTGTTGTACACTAGAGAATCGGTTGAAATGTTCCAATCGTGCCAGAAGTATTGTTCTTGAAATAGACTGCTCTAACTGCATGCTGATTCAAATTAGTATTAATAACTTCACAAATGTAAAACAGACAGCTTCCAACATACAAGCAGCATGTGTGTGTGTATGTATTAACGTTTGAATGTAACGTTTGAAAGTACAGGTAGTCCTCAACAACAGTTCATGTATTGATGTTCAAAGTTTCAATGGCACTGAAAAAAGTGACTTATGAGCCTTTTTCACACTTACAACTGTTGCAGCATCCTGATCACATGGTCAAAATTCAGATACTTGCAACTGGCTCATATTTATGACGGTTGCAGTATCCCAAGGTCATGCAATCCCCTTTTGCATGACCTTCTGACAAGCAAAATCAGCGGGAAGGCCAGATTCACTTAACAACCTTGTTACTAACTTAACAACTGCAGTGATTCATTTAACAACTGTGGCAAGAAAGGTCATAAAATGGATCAAAATTCACTTACCATCTGTCACTTAGCAATATAAATTTTGGACACGATTGTGGTCATAAGTCATGGGCTAGCTGTATATGTGTTTTACTTGCCAAAGAAATTTTGTGGAAAATTCTGATGAGACCAATACAATTTGGTGTGACAATAGTGAGAAAAGCGGTGGCAACTCTGATAAATGATCACATTTGCCAACAGAACTATTACAGTATAATGATTTTTCATTTAAGGTCATCCCCCTGAAAAGATCCTAATAAATCATTGGTATGATTCGCCTAGTCCTTTTGAGCTAGAAAAATATTTAGCAATAGTAGATCTAAACATAGTGGACTAGAAAAGAACTAATAAAGTACTGAAACATAACATCCTGAAATAATAGGAAATAGCCAGAAAGGGCAACTTTGAAATACATGTTTTTAAAGACAAAAATGAGGGAAGAAGCAGGTAACACTCAACAAGATGGAAGAACATCTTGTGTACCAAAATGAAGAGATGGTACAGTTAACAGAAAAGCTTTAAAATGAGGAGTAACCAAATATACACCATAGTACAGTTTTTCCCATATAACTGAGGAATTTATGATGTAATCCTATTTATGTCCAAGTGAGAGATCGGAATGCTGTAATGGGACTTGTTCCTTGGTAAGTGGCTTATGACTGCATTTACTATTTGCAACAACGGTTAAAAGAGCTCAGTTGAATCACTTATCGTTTATCAGGAAATATTTGCTGTAAATTGAGGGTATTTAAACACTTCACTGGTACAATGTAAATTAAGGTTTTATTGCCAACAATGTAAATTTAACTTGATAAAAAATAAATGCCTGCAGTTTTGTTAATAGTACTCAAGCATGTTCATATGGCAAGGCTTACATAACTCATTTTTTTTGCTGCTGGGACTTTAAGTCTGTATTTCTCATTCTCATTGTTTTATTCATTAACTAAGTGTATCCTCTGAGTTCTTGTAGCAACATCACTTCTTTCTTCCTACTTCTTGTTTCCAAGGAAGTGACTGATGTCTAGTAACTACAATGTGAATTCTTATTATTCGCCTGAAATCTCATGTTTATTTTGCTGACAAGAGTAATGTGAGGAGAGGTCCTTAAAGTGCCACAGCTGACCAAAGGATGTACAAATTGCCAGTTACAAGTACCACCATCTAATAAGTGAATGGGGTGGCCATCAGTGCCTCCCTCTTTAACAAAAGACCAGATTACAGGTATTATCTTGGTAAATTTAATAGCAAATCACCTTGGAACATTTTAAGTATTAAGATTACAAAAAAGCTTGTACAAAGTAAAGAATTATGAATGAACTGGATATAAATTTCAATAGATATATTTTTGTTTATAAACTGGACCTTTTTCTGATTTAAAAAACTGGTTCAGAATAGCTTATTTTCTATGTTAAGGGGAAAAGTATTGGACTTTGGTAGCAAAACAATGTTTTCTGGTTTACAGATATGCTTATGCTTTCTTACAAAATCTCTCAAAAATCAGTCCAGATACAAGTCTATAATTGTAGGGTCTTCTAAAGATTTATATAAAAATTTATGGTGATTTGGTTTGTCAAACATGCTAAAGTAATACAGGTTTAGATTTAATACCACTCTCCATGAACAGCAGTTTTCTTGTCAACAAAAAAAGCAGGAACAAAATCTGGATCAAAAACATTCTTTTGTTGAACTTTCCCAAGCTAAGACTAATCTTTGTACTTGTCATGTTTAGTCAGTAAATAATTGGCCAACATTGAAATGGTTAATTTCATTTCATTTCATTTATTA